TGCGGGAGGGAGCCGGGAGTGTGGGGCCGGGCCGGGCTCGGGCTAAGGCTCGGGCAGCGGTGGTGTCTTCAGGGACTGAAGTGCCCTTATTAGGCCGCAGGGGAGCTGGCYTGAGGGAAGCGCCTTAGCAGCCGGGGAGCGGCATTAACCTTTYCATAGAATCACAGAATAGTTGGCKTTGGAWGGGAYCTKTGGAGRTTATCCAGTCGAAACCCCCTGCCAAGGCAGGGTCACCTGGAGCAGGTGACGCAGGAACGTGTCCAGGTGGATTTGGAATGTTTCCAGAGAGAGACTCCAAACCCTTCCAGGGGAGCCTATTGCAGTCCTCTGCCCCCCTCCACGGAAAAAAGTCCTGTCTCATGTTGAAGTGAAATTTATTGATTTTCAGTTTACGGCCATTCCTTCTCATTCTGTCACTGGTCACCACTGAAAGGAGTCTGGCAGCAACCTCTTGGCACCCCCTTTTGAGATATTTATATGCATTGAKAAGATCCCCACTGAGTCCTCTGTTCTCCAGATTAAACAGGTCCAGCTCCRTGGTSTCTCCTCWTGAGAGAGATGCTCCAGACCCCTCATCATCCTYTTGACCCCTTTTGTTGCCTSMGAGTATCCTCTTGTGACTTCYWGYAGGCACTGCARGGGCCCAGCGCAGTCACTTGCKGGAGCTGCAGAAGTGGTCACCTTGTACATATTGAGACAGYGATGCCCAAAAAAGGCTAGAAATAAAACCCCATAGACTGGTGTCTATAGAGCAGGTATTTGTTTATTGTAGCRCTGGAGGTGAGYGGGATCTCTCCTCCTGCCTTTGCTTAAAATTGGCAGGTATTTATACAGYAAGCATGATGTAACATTACCATCMTCATTACRCCCMYCACCATATATGGGTACGGAAATACWTGATATCACAGTTCTGCAAGTACWCATGTGTCATCCTCAATTCAGTGGTCATGGGRKTSTCCCACTAATGAGATACCATCATCTTCATCRTTGTGRACTTTYCAYCTTTGTCTTCAGGGCATGCACAGTTSTRATGTTCATGKTTTTTTT